TCATCCGCACGCTCATCCGCACGCCATCCGCACGCTCATCCGCACGCTCACCCGCACGCTCGCTCACTCAGTCGCTCGCTCATTCGCTCACTCAGTCGCTCACTCGCTCATCCGCACACTCGCCCGCAGGCTCACCCACTCGGTCACTCGCCCACACGCTCACTCACTCGCTCACTCACTCGTGCACTCGTTCACTCACGATGTGCGAGAGTCGGTGGTGGTGGTTGTGGTGGTGGTGGTTGTTGTGGTTAATGTAATTGTTGTTGTGGTTGTTGTAATTGTTGTTGTGGTCGTTGTCGTTCAGGTTTTCCAGGCCTCAGCCGGGCGAACTCCACCCTCAGCACCGGCGACTTCTCACTCAGAGGCAACAACCACAACCACCACTACCACCACAACTACCACCACTACCACTACTACCACAACCACCACCACTACCACAGCTACTACCACTACCACCACCACCACAACTACCACAACCACTACTACCACCACCACCACAACTACCACAACCACTACTACCACCACCACCACAACTACCACAACCACTACTACCACCACAACTACCACTACCACCACCACAACTACCACCACAACTACCACAACCACAACCACTACTACCACCACCACCACAACTACCACAACCACAACCACCACTACCACCACCACCACAACTAACACAACTCACTACCACCACCACCACTACCACTACCACCACAACTACCACAACCACAACCACTACTACCACCACCACCACTACTACCACCACCACTGCCACCACCACCACTACCACAGCTACTACCACTACCACCACAACCACTACTACCACCACCACTACCACAACCACTTCTACTACCACCACTACCACAACCACAGCCATCATGACCACCACTACTACCACAGCCACCACCACCACTACTACCACCACCACTGCCACCACCACCACAACCACCACCACTACCACAGCTACTACCACTACTACCACCACCACTACCACCACTACAACTACCAGCACTGCCACCATCACTACTACCACTACCACCACTAACACCACTACCACAACAACCACTACAACCCCAACAACCACTACTACTACTACCACTACCACCACCACTACCACCATCACTACCACCACTACCACCACTACCATCACTACAACAAACACCACAACTACCACCATTACTACAACTACCACCACAACCACCACTAACACCACTACCAGAACAACCAACACCACTACCACAACTACTACCACTACCACCACAATCACTACTACCACCACCACTACCAGCACTGCCACCATCACTACTACCACTACTACCACCACCACTAACACCACTAACACCACTAACACCACTAACACCACTACCACAACAACCACCACCACCATCACTACAACCACCACTACTACCACCACAACCACCACCACCACTACCATCACTACAACTACCACCACTACCACCACCACTACCACCACCACTACCACTACCACCACTACCACCACTACTACCACTACAACAAACACCACAACTACCACCACCACTACCACCACCACCACTACCACCACTACCACAGCCATCACGACCACAACCACCACTACCACCGCTACCACTACCACCACTATAACAAACACCACAACTACCACCATTACTACAACTACCACCACAACCACCACTACCACCACTACCACCACCATCGCTACAACTACCACAATCGTAACCACAACTACCACGACTACGACAACAACCATCACCACCACCAGCAACCGCCATTCGCCACTCGGTGGCGGTGACGTCACCACGACGCTTGTGCCAGGCCAAGTGCACCTTGAGGCCACGTGAAGTGTCGAACGCCCGCTGGCAGGAGGTCCCGGGGCAGACCCAGCAGGTGCCATGGGTTGTACTGCTGTGCCAGGCTAGGTGCATGAGGAGGAGGTCACGGGGCAGACCCAGCAGGTGCTATGGGTTGTACTGCTGTGCCAGGCTAGGTACATGAGGAGGAGGTCACGGGGCAGACCCAGCAGGTGCCACGGGTCGACTGACCGAGATGACCGAGATGACTGGCTGATGCACCACCTGTGCCCCCTACCGTGCCAACTTGCTGCGCTTTAGCCACCCGGCGCTCCGCTCGTTGTTGTGAGCGTCGCTCCTCCGCCCTCCGTTGTTGTTGGAGGGCGACTGCCTCCAACTGCCCAGTAGCGTCCTTCACGAGCCTCCTCCACAGAGGCCGATCTTGACACCGCTGGTACCAGTCATCGGCAAGTCCACTCAGCTCCACGTCCTCCTGTACCAGATCACTCCATCTCTTCTCTAGCCCGTGCCGTGCCCGTTTAGCACCCTCGATCCGGCCGAACAAAAGCTGTTTAGGCATGCGGTGGCTGGGCATGCGGGCTACATGACCCAGCCAACGCAGCCTTGCCTGCCGGAGGAGCTCACCGATGGGACTTTGCCCAGATCTTTCAAGGATTTGTGAGCTCCTCACACAATCCAGCCTGGTTAAACCCAGGATGGATTGTTGGCAGGCCAGCCTAAATGTTTCCAACCGGCAAAGATGCTCCAATTAGGGGGGGAGGGAATGACCGTGGCCGAGAAGACCTGAAGCTTCGTGCGGAGCGACAGACCAGGTAGCTTCCACACAGCGTTACGCAACCGATGAAAAAATAATGCCACTCGGCTGAGGCACCCCAGCCTCAAATATCCCCACTTTGTCCCGTTGTTCCGCCACTACGTAGTCCAGCAGATGTTCTTGCTTGGACCCGGCATGCATCCATGATGTTGTGTGGATGCGCCGATGCCGGAACTGTGTTGGTAATTACAAGCCCATGGGCTGCACAGAAGTCTAGCAGCCTCCTACCGTTGTTATCGAGCCGATCTGGCCCATGCCTTCCAATCACTCCAGACCAGGTGCCAGCATCATGACCAACGTGGGCATTGAAGTCGCCCAACAAAGATGACTCTATCCCAAGGGGGGCCACTTTAGCCAGCACCTGTGACAGGAGGTCACTGAAGGCATCTGACTCATGGCTGAGAAGAACACACACACACACGTGGACACACACACAGACACACAGACACACACACGTGTACACACACACAGACACAAAGATCCCCCGTATAGCCTGAACAGACTGTAGGGGCAAGTGCTGTTAGCGAGCACCTATGAAGGCCGGAACGGCACACGAGGGGGTGGGTGGCCAGCACCACGCCCGACCGCCTTTGTCTCCCTAGTGGCGATGTTTACACACCGCACCAGGTACTCATTTGAGGCTGAGTCGACCTAGGGGAGGCCCAGGACCGGTTCAGATAATCGTCACTGGTGTTAGCCGTGAGCGGGAATCGAACCCGGGTCGCCAGGTTCATAGCGCAGCGCGCTTACCGCTACACCACCGCTCCCCACACACAGACACACACACGTGTACACGCACACACACACGTGGACACACGCACACCGGACAATCTCCACAACCACCACCTTGGGGGACCCCCTCTCTCTCTCTCTCCACGACAGGCAGCAGAGGAGTGGCCACGGGGTTGAGAACGGTGGTGGTGGTGGTGGTGGCTTGGACCGTCAGCGCCACGGGCAACTCCGGGAAGGCTCTGGCGTCCGCAAGGACCCCTACGCCAACCTCATGACCCAGCGCGAGAAGGACTGGGTCATCAAGATCCAGATGATGCAGCTCAACAACACCGGTGGTGGTGGCGGTGGTGGCGGTGGTGGCGGGCTGATGGAGAGGCTGGGAAACTACCACGACTTCTACTACCAGGTGAGGGCACCGCAGCCATCGCCACCACTACTACTACCACACTGACACTGCTGCCACCACCACACTGACACTGCCGCCACCACCGCCACTGCCACCAGCACCACTGCTGCCACCACCACCACACTGACACTGCTGCCACCACACTGCCACCACCACCACCACTGCCACCACCACCACACTGCCGCCACCACCACCACCACACTGCCGCCACCACCACACTACCGCCACCACCACCACCACACTGCCGCCACCACCACACTACCGCCACCACCACACTGCCACCACCACCACCACTGCCACCACCACACTACCACCACCACACTGCCACCACCACACTGCCGCCACCACCATCACACAGTGGGTGAATGGGTGTGGGTGTGTGGGTGAAGGCGACACGGAGTGGTGTGTGTGTGTCTCCACCTGTGTATATCTGTGTGTGTGTGTGTGTATATCTGTGTGTGTGTGTGTATATCTGTGTGTCTGTGTGTGTGTGTATCTGTGTGTCTGTGTGTGTGTGTATCTGTGTGTCTCTCCGTGTCTGTGTGTGTGTGTGTGTCTGTGTGTGTGTCTCCGTGTAGGCGTACTTTGAGAAGCTGGAGCGCCGTCTGTGGGCTCGCAGCGTCGACTCTGAGCACGATCATCGCGAGCCGCTGAGGCTCAACACGCCACAGCTGGCCCGGGTGGAGCACACCTACACGCCTGGTAGTGCACACACACACACCTACACACACACACACCTACACACCTGGTAGTGCACACACACACCTACACACACACACACCTAGACACACACCTACACACACACACACACCTACACACACACACCTACACACCTGGTAGTGAGCCGCTGAGGCTCAACACGCCACAACTGGCCCGGGTGGAGCACACCTACACACACCTACACACACACACACCTACACACACACACACCTACACACACACACCTACACACACACACCTACACACACACACACACCTACACACACACACACACCTACACACACACACACACCTACACACACACACACCTACACACACACACACCTACACACACACACCTACACACACACCTACACACCTGGTAGTGCACACACACACCTACACACACACACACCTACACACACACACCTACACACCTGGTAGTGCACACACACACACACACCTACACACTTGGTAGTGCACACACACACACCTACACACACCTACACACCTGGTCGCGAGCCGCTGAGGCTCTACACGCCACAGCTGGCCCGGGTGGAGCACACCTGCACACCTGGTAGTGCACACGCACACACCTGCACACACCTACACACACCTACACACACCTACACACACCTACACACACCTACACACACCTACACACACACACACCTACACACACACACACCTACACACACACACACCTACACACACACACCTACACACACACACCTACACACACACCTACACACACACCTACACACACACCTACACACCTGGTAGTGCACACACACACACCTACACACCTACACACACACACCTACACACACACACACCTACACACACCTACACACACCTACACCCCTACACACCTGGTAGTGCACACACACACACACCTACACACACCTACACACACACCTACACACACCTACACACACCTACACACCTACACACCTGGTAGTGCACACACACACACCTACACACCTGGTAGTGCACACACACACCTACACACACACACACCTACACACACACACCTACACACACACACACACCTACACACACACACCTACACACACACCTACACACACCTACACACACCTACACACACCTACACACCTACACACCTGGTAGTGCACACACACACACCTACACACCTGGTAGTGCACACACACACCTACACACACACACACCTACACACACACACACCTACACACACACACACCTACACACACACACCTACACACACACACACCTACACACACCTACACACCTGGTAGTGCACACACACACCTACACCCCTGGTAGTGCACACACACCTACACACAGCTGGCCCGGGTGGAGCACACCTACACACCTGGTAGTGCACACACACACCTACACACACACACACACCTACACACACACACACACCTACACACCTGGTAGTGCACACACACACCTACACACAGCTGGCCCGGGTGGAGCACACCTACACACCTGGTAGTGCACACACACACACCTACACACACACACCTACACACACACACACCTACACACCTGGTAGTGCACACACACACCTACACCCCTGGTAGTGCACACACCTACACACACACACCTACACACAGCTGGCTCGGGTGGAGCACACCTACACACCTGGTAGTGCACACCTACACATACACACCTACACACTTGGTAGTACACACACCTACACACACACCTACACCCCTGGTAGTGCACACACACATACACACACACACACCTACACACCTGGTAGTGCACACACACACCTACACACACACACCTACACACACGCACCTACACACACACACCTACACACACACCTACACACTTGGTAGTGCACACACACACCTACACACACACCTACACACTTGGTAGTGCACACACACACACCTACACACACACCTACACACCTGGTAGTGCACACACACACACCTACACACAAACCTACACACCTGGTAGTGCACACACACAGCTGGCTCGGGTGGAGCACACCTCCACCCCTGGTAGTGCACACCTACACACACCTACACACACCTACACACACACACACACCTACACACACACACCTACACACCTGGTAGTGCACACACACACACCTACACACACACACCTACACACTTGGTAGTGCACACACACACACCTACACACACACACCTATACACCTGGTAGTGCACACACACACACCTACACACAAACCTACACACCTGGTAGTGCACACACACAGCTGGCTCGGGTGGAGCACACCTACACACCTGGTAGTGCACACCTACACACACACACACCTACACACACACACACCTACACACACACACACCTACACACACACCTGGTAGTGTACACCTACACCTACACACACCTACACACCTGGTAGTGCACACACACACCTACACACACACCTACACACACACCTGGTAGTGCACACACACCTACACCCCTGGTAGTGCACACACACACACACACACCTACACACACACACCTACACACACCCACACACACACACCTACACCCCTGGTAGTGCACACACACCTACACCCCTGGTAGTGCACACACACACACCTACACACACACACCTACACACACCCACACACACACACCTACACACCTGGTAGTGCACACACACACCTACACACCTACACCCCTGGTAGTGCACACACACACCTACACCCCTGGTAGTGCACACACACACCTACACACCTGGTAGTGCACACCTACACCTACACACACACCTACACCCCTGGTAGTGCACACCTACACACCTGGTAGTGCACACACCTACACCCCTGGTAGTGCACACACACACCTACACACCTGGTAGTGCGCACCTACACCTACACACATACCTACACCCCTGGTAGTGCACACACCTACACACCTGGTAGTGCACACACCTACACACCTGGTAGTGCACACACACCTACACACCTACACACCTGGTAGTGCACACACACACCTACACACACACACCTACACACACGCACCTACACACACACACCTACACACACCTACACACTTGGTAGTGCACACACACCTACACACACACCTACACACCTGGTAGTGCACACACACACACCTACACACAAACCTACACACCTGGTAGTGCACACACACAGCTGGCTCGGGTGGAGCACACCTCCACCCCTGGTAGTGCACACCTACACACACCTACACACACACACACCTACACACACCTACACACACACACACCTACACACACACACCTACACACTTGGTAGTGCACACACACACACCTACACACACACACCTACACAACTGGTAGTGCACACACACCTACACACACACACCTACACACCTGTTAGTGCACACACACACACCTACACACAAACCTACACACCTGGTAGTGCACACACACAGCTGGCTCGGGTGGAGCACACCTACACACCTGGTAGTGCACACCTACACACACACACCTACACACCTGGTAGTGCACACACACACCTACACACACACCTACACACACACCTGGTAGTGCACACACCTACACCCCTGGTAGTGCACACACACACCTACACCCCTGGTAGTGCACACACCTACACACCTGGTAGTGCACACACCTACACCCCTGGTAGTGCACACACACACCTACACACCTGGTAGTGCGCACCTACACACACACCTACACCCCTGGTAGTGCACACACCTACACACCTGGTAGTGCACACACCTACACACCTGGTAGTGCACACACACACCTACACACACCTACACACCTGGTAGTGCACACACACCTACACACCTGGTAGTGCACACACACCTACACCCCTGGTAGTGCACACACACACCTACACACACACACCTACACACCTGGTAGTGCACACACACCTACACACCTACACACACACCTACACACACACACACCTACACAGCTGGTAGTGCACGCACACACACACCTACACACCTACACACACACACACCTACACACACACCTACACACCTGGTAGTGCACGCACACACACCTACACACACACACACCTACACACACACCTGTGTCACTGTCTGTCACTGTCTGTCTCACTGTGTGTCGCTGTGTCTCTGTGTCACTGTCTCACCGTGTCTGTGTCACTGTGTGTCTGTGTGTCACTGTCTGTGTCTCTGTGTCACTGTGTCTGTCACTGTACTGTCTGTGTGTCACTGTGTCTCTGTCACTGTCTCACCGTGTCTGTGTGTCACTGTGTGTCTGTCACTGTCTGTGTGTCTCACTGTGTGTCACTGTGTCTCTGTGTCTGTGTCTCACTCTCTGTGTCTCACTGTCTCTCTGTGTGTCTCACTGTGTGTGTCTCTGTGTGTGTCACCACAGTACAGTTTGAGGGCTCTCTGTGTCTCAGTGTCTGTGTCTCACTGTGTGTCACTGTGTGTCACTGTCTCTCTGTGTGTCTCACTGTGTGTGTCTCTGTGTGTGTCACCACAGTACAGTTTGAGGGCTCTCTGTGTCTCAGTGTCTGTGTCTCACTGTGTGTCACTGTGTGTCACTGTCTCTCTGTGTGTCTCACTGTGTGTGTCTCTGTGTGTGTCACCACAGTACAGTTTGAGGGCTCTCTGTGTCTCAGTGTCTGTGTCTCACTGTGTGTCACTGTGTGTCACTGTCTCTCTGTGTGTCTCACTGTGTGTGTCTCTGTGTGTCTGTGTGTGTCACCACAGTACAGTTTGAGGGCTCTCTGTGTCTCAGTGTCTGTGTCTCACTGTGTGTCACTGTGTGTCACTGTCTCTCTGTGTGTCTCACTGTGTGTGTCTCTGTGTGTGTCACCACAGTACAGTTTGAGGGCTCTCTGTGTCTCAGTGTCTGTGTCTCACTGTGTGTGTCTCTGTGTGTCTGTGTGTGTCACCACAGTACAGTTTGAGGGCTCTCTGTGTCTCAGTGTCTGTGTCTCACTGTGTGTCACTGTGTGTCACTGTCTCTCTGTGTGTCTCACTGTGTGTGTCTCTGTGTGTCTGTGTGTGTCACCACAGTACAGTTTGAGGGCTCTCTGTGTCTCAGTGTCTGTGTCTCACTGTGTGTCACTGTGTGTCACTGTCTCTCTGTGTGTCTCACTGTGTGTGTCTCTGTGTCTGTGTGTGTCACCACAGTACAGTTTGAGGGCTCTCTGTGTCTCAGTGTCTGTGTCTCACTGTGTGTCACTGTGTGTCACTGTCTCTCTGTGTGTCTCACTGTGTGTGTCTCTGTGTGTCTGTGTGTGTCACCACAGTACAGTTTGAGGGCTCTCTGTGTCTCAGTGTCTGTGTCTCACTGTGTGTCACTGTGTGTCACTGTCTCTCTGTGTGTCTCACTGTGTGTGTCTCTGTGTGTGTGTGTGTCACCACAGTACAGTTTGAGGGCTCTCTGTGTCTCAGTGTCTGTGTCTCACTGTGTGTCACTGTGTGTCACTGTCTCTCTGTGTGTCTCACTGTGTGTGTCTCTGTGTGTCTGTGTGTGTCACCACAGTACAGTTTGAGGGCTCTCTGTGTCTCAGTGTCTGTGTCTCACTGTGTGTCACTGTGTGTCACTGTCTCTCTGTGTGTCTCTCTGTGTGTGTGTGTCACCACAGTACAGTTTGAGGGCTCTCTGTGTCTCAGTGTCTGTGTCTCACTGTGTGTCACTGTGTGTCACTGTCTCTCTGTGTGTCTCACTGTGTGTGTCTCTGTGTGTGTCACCACAGTACAGTTTGAGGGCTCTCTGTGTCTCAGTGTCTGTGTGTCACTGTGTGTCACTGTGTGTCACTGTCTCTCTGTGTGTCTCACTGTGTGTGTCTCTGTGTGTCTGTGTGTGTCACCACAGTACAGTTTGAGGGCTCTCTGTGTCTCAGTGTCTGTGTCTCACTGTGTGTCACTGTGTGTCACTGTGTGTCACTGTCTCTCTGTGTGTCTCACTGTGTGTGTCTCTGTGTGTCTGTGTGTGTCACCACAGTACAGTTTGAGGGCTCTCTGTGTCTCAGTGTCTGTGTCTCACTGTGTGTCACTGTGTGTCACTGTCTCTCTGTGTGTCTCACTGTGTGTGTCTCTGTGTCTCTGTGTGTCTGTGTGTGTCACCACAGTACAGTTTGAGGGCTCTCTGTGTCTCAGTGTCTGTGTCTCACTGTGTGTCACTGTGTGTCACTGTCTCTCTGTGTGTCTCACTGTGTGTGTCTCTGTGTGTCTGTGTGTGTCACCACAGTACAGTTTGAGGGCTCTCTGTGTCTCAGTGTCTGTGTCTCACTGTGTGTCACTGTGTGTCACTGTCTCTCTGTGTGGTCTCACTGTGTGTGTCTCTGTGTGTCTGTGTGTGTCACCACAGTACAGTTTGAGGGCTCTCTGTGTCTCAGTGTCTGTGTCTCACTGTGTGTCACTGTGTGTCACTGTCTCTCTGTGTGTCTCACTGTGTGTGTCTCTGTGTCTCTGTGTGTCTGTGTGTGTCACCACAGTACAGTTTGAGGGCTCTCTGGGCAAGTTGACCGTCTCCAGCGTGAACAACCCTCGGCGCATGATCGACGCAGTCGCCACGGCAACACGCCCTAGCGATGATGAGGTGGGTTGTGGTGATGGTGATGATGATGATGGTGGCGGTGGTGGTGGTGATAATGGTGGTGGCAGTGGTGGTGGCAGGAGTGGCGGTGGTGGTGGTGGTGGCGGTGATAATGGTGGTGGTGGTGGCGGCAGGGGTGGCGGCAGGGGTGGCGGTGATGGTGGTGATGGTGGTGATGGTAGTGATGGTTGTGCTGGTGGTGGTGATGGTTGTGATGGTTGTGCTGGTGGTGGTGATGGTTGTGCTGGTGGTGGTTGTGATGGTGGTGATGTTGAGTGATGGGTGCGTGGTGAGGTGAGGGGGGGTGGGTTATGTGGCGTTGTTGATGATGATGATGTTGATGTTGTTGATGATGTTGATGATGATGATGATGTTGTTGTTGATGATGATGATGATGTTGATGAGGTTGTTGTTGATGATGATGATGATGTTGATGAGGTTGTTGATGATGATGTTGATGATGTTGATGATGTTGATGATGTTGTTGATGATGATGATGTTGATGATGTTGTTGATGATGATGATGTTGATGATGATGTTGTTGATGATGATGATGATGTTGATGATGTTGTTGATGATGATGATGTTGATGTTGTTGTTGATGATGTTGATGATGATGATGTTGATGTTGTTGATGATGATGTTGATGATGTTATTGTTCAGGATCTCAAGGAGAAGCAGGGGAGAGACAAGAGGAGACACGTGCTGCACACGATAGAGAACGTACGCTGACGTCCGCCATCGTCACCATCATCACCACCGCCATCACCACCATCATCATCGTCACCACCATCATCACCGACGTCACCATCGACACCATCGCCGCCATCATCACCATCATTGCCATCATCATCACCACCATCACCACCATCATCATCATCATTATCATCACCACCATCATTATCATCGCCATCATCATCATTATCATCACCACCATCATTATCATCACCACCATCATTATCACCAACATCATCACCATCATCATCACCACCATCATTATCACCGACATCATCACCGACATCACCATCACCGCCATCGACATCACCATCATCACTGCCATCATCACCACCATCGACATCACCACCATTGACACCATCGTCACCACCATAGACATCAACATCACCGACATCGTCACCATCGACATCACCATCGCCATCATCATCACCACCGCCATCACCACCATCATCATCGTCACCACCATCATCACCGACGTCACCATCGACACCATCGCCGCCATCATCACCATCATCGCCATCATCATCACCACCATCATCATCATCACCACCACCGCCATCACCACCATCATCATCATCATCACCACCGCCATCACCATCATCATCATCATCATCGTCACCACCATCATCACCATCGTCACCGCCACCACCATCACCACCATCACCACCATCACCACCATCATCATCGTCACCACCATCATCGCCATCATCATCATCACCACCATCATCATCACCACCACCATCATCACCATCGACATCACCATCGACATCACCATCGACATCACCATCACCACCATCATCACCACCATCGTCACCATCGACATCACCATCGACATCACCATCACCACCATCATCATCACCATCGACATCACCATCACCACCATCATCATCACCATCGTCACCATCGACATCACCATCATCATCACCATCACCACCATCATCATCACCATCGACATCACCATCACCACCATCATCATCACCATCGACATCACCATCACCACCATCATCATCACCATCGACATCACCATCACCACCATCATCATCACCACCACCACCACCATCACCATCGACATCATCATCACCATCACCACCATCATCATCACCATCGACATCACCACCACCATCATCATCACCATCGACATCACCACCACCATCACCACCATCACCACCATCACCACCATCACCACCATCACCACCATCACCACCATCACCACCATGGACATCAACTATCTCAATTCCCCTGCTGTTATAACGCACACTGACAAGTGTGTGGTGATGGTGATGGCGGTTGTTGTTGTTGTTGTTGTTGTTGTTGTTGTTGTGTTGTTGTTGTTGGCGGCATTGTCGTTGTTGACGTTGTTGACGTTGTTGTCGTTGTTGTTGTTGTTGTTGCCGTTGTTTTTAACAATGTTGTTGTTGACGTCGTTGTTGTTGACGTTGTTGTTGACGTTGTTGTTGACGTTGTTGTTGACGTTGTTGTTGACGTTGTTGTTGTTGTTGTTGACGTTGTTTTTAACAATGTTGTTGTTTGTTGTTGACGTTGTTGTTGTCGTTGTTGTTGTTGTTGTTGACGTTGTTGTTGACGTTGCTGTTGTGGTTGTTGACGTTGCTGTAGGCGTTGACGTTGTTGTTGTTCACGTTGTTGTTGTTGACGTTGTTGACGTTGTTGTTGTTGACGTTGTTGTTGACGTTGTTGTTGTCGTTGTTGTTGACGTTGTTGACGTTGTTGTTGTTGACGTTGTTGTTGTTGTTGACGTCGTTGTTGTTTGTTGTTGTTGTTGACACTGTAGGCATTGTTGTTGACATTGCTGTTGTTGACGTTGTTGTTGTCGTTGTTGTTGTTGATGTTGTTGACGTCGTTGTTGTTGTTGACGTCGTTGTTGTTGTTGTTGACACTGTAGGCATTGTTGTTGACGTTGTTGGCGTTGTTGTTGGCGTTGTTTTGACGTTGTTGTTGACACTGTAGGCATTGTTGTTGACATTGTTGGCGTTGTTGTTGTTGTTGTTGTTGTTGACACTGTAGGCATTGTTGTTGACATTGTTGGCGTTGTTGTTGTTGTTGTTGTTGTTGACACTGTAGGCATTGTTGTTGACATTGTTGGCGTTGTTGTTGTTGTTGTTGTTGTTGACACTGTAGGCGTTGTTGTTGACATTGTTGGCGTTGTTGTTGACATTGTTGTTGTTGTTGTTGACGTTGTTGTTGTTGTTGACGCTGTAGGCCTACTCGCTGCTCCTCTCCATCGAGGACGTGGACCGCGTGATTGCGAAGCTGGCCGGCGGTTGCCGTGGCGACGGTGGCCCTGGCGACGGTAACCGTGACGACCGCACCGTCGCCATGGAGACGCGGCAGGCCAAGCTGCAGGCGCTGATGGAGCTCCTGCAGGTCCACGCGGCCGCGGCGACGGACGCCGGGGACGAGAGGTGACGTCAACATCAACAACATCGTCAACAACAACATCGACAACAACAACAACATCAACATCAACAACATCAACAACAACAACAACAACAACATCGTCACCATCGTCATCGTCAACAACAACATCAACAACAACATTATTGTCAACCACCATCACCACCGTCACCATCGCCGCCATCAACATCGCCACCATCAACATCGCCACCATCAACATCGCCACCATCAACATCGCCACCATCAACATCGCCACCATCAACATCGCCACCATCAACATCGCCACCATCAACATCGCCACCATCGCCACCATCAACATCGCCACCATCAACATCGCCACCATCAACATCGCCACCATCAACATCGCCACCATCACCATCGCCACCATCAACATCGCCACCATCACCATCGCCACCATCAACATCGCCACCATCAACATCGCCACCATCACCATCGCCACCATCAACATCGCCGCCATCAACATCGCCACCATCAACATCACCACCATCACCATCAACATCGCCACCATCAACATCGCCGCCATCAACATCACCACCATCACCATCGCCACCATCACCATCGCCACCATCAACATCGCCACCATCAACATCGCCACCATCGCCACCATCAACATCGCCACCATCAACATCGCCACCATCAACATCGCCACCATCAACATCGCCGCCATCAACATCGCCGCCATCAACATCGCCACCATCAACATCATCAACATCGCCACCATCAACATCGCCACCATCAACATCGCCACCATCGCCGCCATCAACATCGCCACCATCAACATCGCCACCATCGCCACCATCAACATCGCCACCATCACCATCGCCACCATCATCATCGCCACCATCGCCACCATCACCATCGCCACCATCAACATCGCCACCATCGCCACCATCAACATCGCCGCCATCAACATCGCCACCATCGCCACCATCAACATCGCCACCATCACCACCATCAACATCGCCACCATCAACATCCACCATCGCCACATCACATCGCCACCATCACATCGCCACCCATCAACATCGCCACCATCGCCACCATCAACATCGCCACCATCGCCACCATCAACTCGCCACCATCGCCACCATCAACATCGCCACCATCACATCGCCACCATCACACCATCACCATCGCCACCATCAACATCGCCACCATCGCCACATCAACATCGCCACATCAACATCGCCACCATCATCGCCACCATCAACATCGCCACCATCGCCACCATCAACATCGCCACCATCAACATCGCCGCCATCAACATCGCCACCATCAACATCACCACCATCAACATCACCACCATCAACATCGCCGCCACCATCATCGCCGCCATCAACATCGCCACCATCAACATCACCACCATCAACATCGCCACCATCAACATCGCCGCCATCAACATCGCCGCCACCATCATCGCCGCCATCAACATCACCACCATCAACATCGCCACCATCAACATCACCACCATCAACATCGCCGCCACCATCATCGCCGCCATCAACATCGCACCCATCAACATTCACCACCAATCAACTCGCCCAGCCATCCACATCGCCGCCATCAACAATCGCCGCCACCATCATCGCCCATCAACATCACCACCATCACATCGCCACCATCAACATCGCCGCCATCAACATCACCACCATCAACATCACCACCATCAACATCGCCGCCATCAACATCGCCACCATCAACATCGCCGCCATCAACATCACCACCATCAACATCACCACCATCAACATCGCCGGCCATCAACATCACCACCATCAACATCACCACCATCACATCACCACCATCACATCGCCGCCATCAACATCACCACCATCAACATCACCACCATCAACATCGCCACAGCATCGCCGCCACTCAACATCACCACCATCAACATCACCCCCATCACCATCAACCACCATCAACATCGCCGCCAACCATCATCGCCGCCATCAACCATCGCCACCATCAACATCACCACCATCAACATCGCCGCCATCAACATCGCCGCCATCAACATCGCCGCCACCATCATCGCCGCCATCAACATCGCCACCATCAACATCGCCACCATCAACATCGCCGCCATCAACATCGCCACCATCGCCACCATCAACATCGCCACCATCAACATCGCCACCATCAACATCGCCACCATCGCCGCCATCAACATCGCCACCATCACCATCGCCACCATCAACATCGCCACCATCGCCACCATCAACATCGCCACCATCAACATCGCCGCCATCAACATCGCCACCATCAACATCACCACCATCAACATCGCCACCATCAACATCGCCGCCATCAACATCGCCGCCACCATCATCGCCGCCATCAACATCGCCACCATCAACATCGCCACCATCAACATCGCCACCATCACATCGCCCACCATCACATCGCCACCATCAACATCGCCACCATCACATCGCCACCATCAACATCGCCACCATCAACATCGCCGCCATCAACATCGCCGCCACCATCATCGCCGCCATCAACATCGCCACCATCAACATCGCCACCATCAACATCGCCACCATCAACATCGCCACCATCAACATCGCCACCATCAACATCGCCACCATCAACATCGCCGCCATCAACATCGCCGCCACCATCATCGCCGCCATCAACATCGCCACCATCAACAATCGCCACCATCACATCGCCACCATCAACATCGCCGCCTCACATCGCCACCATCAACATCGCCACCATCAACATCGCCACCATCAACATCGCCCCATCAACATCGCCACCATCAACATCGCCACCATCAACATCGCCACCCATCAATCGCCACCATCGCCACCATCAACATCGCCACCATCAACATCGCCGCCATCACATCGCCGCCTCAACATCGCCGCCATCAACATCGCCACCATCACATCGCCACCATCAACATCGCCACCATCGCCGCCATCAACATCGCCACCATCAACATCGCCGCCATCAACATCGCCGCCATCCATCGCCGCCATCACATCGCCACCATCAACATCGCCACCATCACCATCGCCACATCAACATCGCCACCATCGCCACCATCAACATCGCCACCATCAACATCGCCACCATCGCCACCATCAACATCGCCACCATCAACATCGCCACCATCGCCACCATCAACATCGCCACCATCAACATCGCCACCATCGCCACCATCAACATCGCCACCATCAACATCGCCGCCATCAACATCGCCACCATCAACATCGCCACCATCAACATCGCCACCTCAACATCGCCGCCATCAACATCGCCGCCATCAACATCGCCACCATCACCACCATCAACATCGCCACCATCAACATCGCCACCATCGCCACCATCAACATCGCCACCATCAACATCGCCACCATCAACATCGCCACCATCGCCACCATCAACATCGCCACCATCAACATCGCCACCATCAACATCTCGCCACCATCAACCGCCCCACCATCAACGCGCCACCATCAACATCGCCGCCATCAACTCGCCACCATCAACATCGCCACCATCACATCGCCGCCATCAACATCGCCACCATCAACATCGCCACCATCAACATCGCCGCCATCAACATCGCCACCATCAACATCGCCACCATCAACATCGCCACCATCAACATCGCCACCATCGCCGCCATCAACATCGCCACCATCAACATCGCCACCATCAACATCGCCACCATCAACATCGCCACCATCGCCACCATCAACATCGCCGCCATCAACATCGCCGCCATCAACATCGCCACCATCACATCGCCACCATCAACATCGCCGCCATCACATCGCCACCATCAACATCGCCACCATCACATCGCCACCATCAACATCGCCACCATCAACATCGCCACCATCAACATCGCCACCATCGACATCGCCATCATCAACATCGCCACCATCAACATCGCCACCATCAACATCGCCACCATCAACATCGCCACCATCAACATCGCCACCATCAACATCGCCACCATCAACATCGCCGCCATCAACATCGCCGCCATCAACATCGCCACCATCGCCGCCATCAACATCGCCACCATCAACATCGCCACCATCAACATCGCCACCATCAACATCGCCACCATCAACATCGCCACCATCAACATCGCCGCCATCAACATCGCCGCCATCAACATCGCCACCATCAACATCGCCGCCATCACAATCGCCACCATCACATCGCCACCATCGCCACCATCAACACGCCACCATCAACATCGCCACCATCACATCGCCACCATCAACATCGCCACCATCAACATCGCCGCCATCAACATCGCCACCATCAACATCGCCGCCATCAACATCGCCACCATCGCCACCATCAACATCGCCACCATCAACATCGCCACCATCACCATCGCCGCCATCAACATCGCCGCCATCAACATCGCCCCATCAACATCGCCGCCATCACATCGCCACCATCAACATCGCCACCATCGCCACCATCACATCGCCACCATCAACATCGCCACCATCAACTCGCCACCATCAACATCGCCACCATCACATCGCCCCCTCAACATCCCACCATCAACCTCGCCACCATCACAATCGCCACCATCAACATCGCCACCATCAACATCGCCGCCATCGCCACCATCAACATCGCCACCATCAACACGCCACCATCACCATCGCCGCCATCAACATCGCCCCATCACATCGCCACCATCAACATCGCCACCATCGCGCCGCCATCAACACATCGCCCCGCCATCAACATCGCCGCCATCAACATCGCCACCATCACCATCGCCACCATCCATCGCCACCATCACATCGCCACCATCAACATCGCCGCCATCACATCGCCACCATCACCATCGCCACCATCAACATCGCCACCATCACATCGCCGCCATCAACATCTCCACCATCACCATCGCCACCATCAACATCGCCACCATCAACATCGCCACCATCAACATCGCCACCATCAACATCGCCACCATCAACATCGCCACCATCAACATCGCCACCATCAACATCGCCGCCATCAACATCGCCACCATCACCATCGCCACCATCAACATCGCCGCCATCAACATCGCCACCATCAACATCGCACCATCAACATCGCCGCCATCAACATCGCCGCCATCAACATCGCCACCATCAACATCGCCACCATCAACATCGCCACCATCAACATCGCCGCCATCAACATCGCCGCCATCAACATCGCCACCATCAACATCGCCACCATCAACATCGCCACCATCAACATCGCCACCATCAACATCGCCACCATCAACATCGCCGCCATCAACATCGCCACCATCAACATCGCCACCATCAACATCGCCACCATCAACATCGCCACCATCAACATCGCCACCATCAACATCGCCACCATCGCCACCATCAACATCGCCACCATCAACATCGCCGCCATCAACATCGCCACCATCAACATCGCCACCATCAACATCGCCACCATCAACATCACCACCATCAACATCGCCACCATCAACATCGCCGCCATCAACATCGCCACCATCAACATCGCCACCATCAACATCGCCGCCATCAACATCGCCGCCATCAACATCGCCACCATCAACATCGCCACCATCAACATCGCCGCCATCAACATCGCCACCATCACATCGCCACCATCAACATCGCACCATCAACATCGCCGCCATCACATCGCCACCATCAACATCGCCACCATCGCCACCATCGCCACCATCACATCGCCACCATCGCCACCATCAACATCGCCACCATCAACATCGCCACCATCAACATCGCCACCATCGCCACCATCGCCACCATCAACATCGCCACCATCGCCACCATCAACATCGCCACCATCAACATCGCCACCATCAACATCGCCACCATCAACATCGCCACCATCGCCACCATCGCCACCATCAACATCGCCACCATCAACATCGCCACCATCGCCACCATCGCCACCATCAACATCGCCGCCATCAACATCGCCGCCATCAACATCGCCACCATCAACATCGCCACCATCAACATCGCCACCATCAACATCGCCACCATCAACATCGCCACCATCGCCACCATCGCCACCATCAACATCGCCACCATCACATCGCCACCATCGCCACCATCGCCACCATCAACATCGCCACCATCGCCACCATCGCCACCATCGCCACCATCAACATCGCCGCCATCAACATCGCCACCATCAACATCGCCACCATCAACATCGCCACCATCGCCACCATCGCCACCATCAACATCGCCACCATCGCCACCATCGCCACCATCAACATCGCCGCCATCAACATCGCCACCATCAACATCGCCACCATCGCCACCATCGCCACCATCAACATCGCCACCATCACATCGCCACCATCACATCGCCACCATCGCCACCATCGCCACCATCAACACATCGCCACCATCAACATCGCCGCCATCAACATCGCCGCCATCACATCGCCGCCATCACATCGCCACCATCAACATCGCCACCATCGCCACCATCTCACGCCACCATCAACATCGCCACCATCAACATCGCCACCATCA